ACATGGGAGCTGGCTCGGAGCTCGTCAACCTGGCTGTGTGTTTCGTGGACGCTTTTTACAGCTGCTTTTTGTGTCTCTGCTTCTCTTGAACCCCAGTCGGCCTCAGCAGATGGCCGCTCACACTGAGCCTGGTTCTGCTGGAGGTTTCTTCCTGTTAAAAGGGAGTTTGTCCTCTCCACTATCGCTACAAGCATGCTTGGTGTGAGGGATTGCATCCGAGTCAATAAGTCGATAAAATCAACTGGTTTTCCTTAGGTAGAAAACTTTGAATCAATTTCACTGTATGATCTAGTGAACTGTAAAGTGCCTTGAGATGACATGTGCTGTGAATTGGTGCTATTGAAATAAACTGAATTAAATTGACCGGAGAAGTAAATAGTGAATGAGAAAGCCTCCTTTAGTGTGAGCCACATGGACAAATGAAAACCCTGGTTGCTGTGAGTCTGCCTGCTGGATGAAACTCAAGCCTTCCAAATGGACATGGACAAAAGGTTTGCAGGTCTGGCATAATTAGGGACAGAGCAAACAATATGTCTTTTGATGATTTTGATGCAATGCTATAGTAACATGTTCTGAGCTGTTGTTGAAGCTTGGACAAGCTTTTATTTTACTAAGGGTTAAACACTGATATATCATTAGTGTTCATGTGTTCATCAGATGCTCATTACATTTCCATTACCAAGTATGACCAAGAGTCATTTAGTGAATCCTGATGTCTTTTTTCTGCTAACTATTTCAAAGAGGGTAAAAAATCATTTAACTAAAGGTCATTGGTTCCTGATTAAGCAAATCATTTTATAAAACATTATTTGGCCAAATAATGTTTTATTCACCTAGTGGATTTGCCTTGTGAATTGGTCTGAAAACATTCCAATTTCTTTAAAATTAGTGAAAAGCTAATCTGATCGTATTCTAAATTCTTCCAGATTTGGTTTTCAAACATAAAATCCATCTTAAACTGTAATATGGTTTTCAACCATGTTTTCCCTTCCTCTTTGTGCATAGTATTTTAGTTTAGTTTTACTAGTCTTAGTTAAGAGTTTTAAACTGAAATATGTTTGACTTGGAGCTGAATGATTTTTGTGAATAAACGCTTGTATTTTGAACAGAATTTGTGGTGAATTTATTCCATGTATGTGCAGAAATAACTGTTTGACCATGATTAGTGCTCAAATCACTCTTTCATTTATTGTTCTAACACACAGTTAGTAGGGCGTGTGTTCATAAACAGTATATAATAGCCCAAATAATATCTGATTAAATAAGATATTTATCACCCCTACCAGAGGGAAATACACATCTTAAAGTATCAGAAAATATCAGTTCCCAAACTGGCTGGGAATAGAATAGGACAGTTATCCACAACATATGGCATCCAACCTGGATGGGCATTGAACATAAAATCACAACAGATTTATTTTAAAATCAGTTTTCGAGGTGGTTGTCAAAAAAAATACATGAAACATAATGTGAAGCAAAATAGATTATTTTTATAGACAATTTCAATTCAGTTTATTTCTATACCAACAATTCACATCTTGTCATCTCAAGGCACTTTACAGTTCCCCAGATCATACAGTCAGATTGATTCAAAGTTTTCTATCTAAGGAAAACCAGTTGATTGCATCGACTCATTGTGTCAAAGGCAATCCCTCACACTAAGCATGCTTGTAGCAACAGTGGAGAGCAAAAACCCCCTTTTCACAGGAAGAAACCTCCAGCAGAACCAGGCTCAGTGTGAGTGGCCATCTGCTGAGGCTGACTGGGGTTCAAGGAGACAGAAGCAGAACTCGACATAGAAAAGCCAACTGTAAACCAGTCCCACAAGCGGCCCCATCCAGGAACCCAGGCAGACGAGCTCTGAGCCAGCTACCATGTCAGAGGATGAAGAGAACATCCAGCCAGTCACAGTCAGAGAAACAGGACTACTCTGAAAAACAGGCCGAAAATTGAAAATATAATTTTCTTTTCAGTTTTGCAATCAATAATCTATTAAGTTTGCTCATTGGTTCATTTGATTCCAAAGTCATATATTATGAATATTTAAAAATGAAACCAAACTGGAAAAGGGAACTTTTTTCAACGGTTTATTAAAATAAGATGTTTCTTTCTGTTTTCACTCGGTAAAGAAAAACAAACTGGGTTTAAACTCTCACACAGCACAGACGTGCCAAAATGCTCCTCCATCTTCCATGAACAGTTGTAGTGCCTCAGCTTCACCATTTTCTCTTTTAGAATATGTAATCTTCCGTAAAATAAGATTCTTTAAGGGCAAGTAGAGACACATCGCGGGAGAAAAGGCTGAGCTGAGAAGCTGCAGGCCGGTCGGTCGGAGCGCACATGCTCAGTGGGATTATTGTTGTTGCTTTTTTTTTCAAGCAGAGGCTTTAAGAGCGCTGCTGCTGCTGCTGACAGGAGCAGAGCAGAGAGGCTGAGCTGAGAGCACCAACAGAGGGGGAGAGCTGCAGAAGCTGCCAGATGAGCCATCCCTGACAGCTGCAGACCCGGCTCTATGCTGGGCACCCGCAGCGCCAGGCAGCGCATCCATCTGGGCCGCTCCCTTCTCATCAACTCCTCTTTACACTCCATTTTTTTATACATCTTCCTACTTTTATTTGTTTAATATTTTTATATAAGCATTTCCATTATGGTGCTGGGCAAAGTTAAGGCCCTGGCGGTCTACTTTGACTGCCTGAACGAGAACAACCTGCCCGTGTTCTCCGGGGGAGACCTGGTCTCCGGCAGGGTGGTGGTGGAGGTGACCGGGGACGTGCGCGTCAAGAGGCTGGACATCACCGCCCGGGGGGTCGCCAAAGTCCGCTGGACGGAGTCGAGAAACGCCGGAGCCAACACGGCTTACACCCAGAACTACACGGAGGAGGTGGAATACCTGCATCACTGCGACACCCTGATCGGAGAGGAGAGAGGTAAGAGGAGAGGAGTCTGTGCGCAAACTTCTGGAAACTTGGTGGAAGCAGAGCGCGCGGTCCATCAGCCGCAGTGGTACTGATGCAACAGCTGATGCCCGGAGCGCAGCTCCTCTGCTCAGCCTGTTCATCTGTACACACTCTATGATCAGCAGCAGGGATGGAAACAGACGATTTTCCTCTCATTTCTGACCACTTTGGGTTTTATTATCGTGGCTTCTGTCGAGGGTGGCGGAAAACTCAGACAAAAGTTACCAGCGCTTCGAATAAACATTAAAATCATAAAAAAACACAAAGTGATCGTCAGGGTTTTTAGTCTCAGATCAACTTTCCTTCATAAATACACAAGGAAAGAGGATTTTTAGAGCTGACATCATTGATAAGAACAGATCTGGCTACTCCCTTTGTTAGAAGCGGTTCAAACCTGTTCAGAAACTGCCAGAGACGGGGGAGGGGAGGGGAGAGCTGTGTGTGTGTGTGTGTGGAGGGAATTATGCCTCAGCTGCTGCCTCCACTTCACACTCTCCTGTTGTTCGGTTGCCTCGGTAATAAATAAAATAAGATGCAAAACAGACCGTTGAATTTAACCTTTTATGTAAATAAAAAGTGTCCAAGAAAGGTATGTTCACTACTGGCCCTGCAGCCGCACAGGGGTCATATTAGGGGCCCATGTGAGGGACCTCAGGTCATCTTGGATCCATGGGCCATGCTTTGGGGGAGAAAAGAAGAAAGATCAATTAAATAAATTTTTTTTATGCCTCATCTCCAATGCAGAATTCAAACACCTTTTTTGTAACAGTTAGAAACTAAATCGACAAATTAGTTTTCCTAAAGTCTGCGTTCATGTAAATAATTCATTTGCATCAAATTTGGATCCACATGCTTCATCATTTCTAGATATTCAATTACTGCTCTCAAAAAACAGTGGTTGTATTCCTCCTCATATATTTATATATGTAATTTATTTTTTATTTTTTTTGCAGTTTCTTTTAAATCTGTTCTTTTCATATGCATGCATAGCTTGTATTTCCATTATTTCAATTTGTTGCTGGTTGCTCTGGTGAGTCAGTCAAATATATTTCTAGTCTGTTCTTTTACCCTCATTTTTACCACATAGTACTATGGCTCTCCAGTTTCATATATAAACGCAATTACAAATTTGTAAGAAAATCAAAAGAATTGTTGGTTTTCTCTTAGACAAACCGAGTCTGAATAAAAAAATAATAATGAAGATGTGTATGACAGGCAGCTACACAGCTGATTAAAATAATTATTGCCCATTTTAGGTTTGTTTTCTATTAATCACTTTGACCAAGTTGATGAGTTATTTCCATGGACCATACAATAGTGTGGATGTGTGCTTTAACTGAATGGGTAACCTGACTTAATATAATCTATTCCTCGAATGTGATCAAATTAATATTTTATACTGATAAAGGGTCACGTACACGTTTGAAAATTTGCTTTTTTTCATGGGATTCTATAAATCCAGGATGTGCCACTTTTTTCTCCAGCAGCAAACAAAGATGACCATTAGGTTATGGAACCCTGTAGGAAAAGCATTATTGGCTGAAATGAAGCAGCCATTAAGGGTGTTTGTCAGTGAAGAGTTCGCGTGAGAACAGCAGGTCCACCTGAAGTTCATCTTTTGAGTAACAACACCCTTCCTCCCTGCCTCACCCCTTCCTACTCCTTCTCAGGCCCAACACTGTACGACTCTGCCTCTGTGGGCAGGGACTCGCGTCTGAGTAGCCAATCAGCGCACGTTCCTTTATATGCGTCTTACGTCCCTGACCAATGAGAGGTCGAGTAGCGATGCGCTCGTTGGAGTTTCCAGCTCGAGTGAGCTGCTCAGTCTGGTTCATACCGGTCTACTCCTGCTTGAGCTGCGCTGCCGGTGACTGGGCCCGCGCGCACGCCCGCGCGCGCACTAACGTCCTCTCACTCAGCCGCACACACGAAGCCTCCCCGCTCTGGTCACGCGCGCACACTGCAGAGATGCAGGATGAGGTGGCAGGAAGCGAGAAGCGGCGGGGTGGACTGAATACTCTTACACAACTGAGCTGATAGATGACACCAGAGATGAGGAAGTGAAGAAGGTCATGACGTTTCCCCTCCTCTGCTGCTGCACGCTCTGCCACACATGTTGATAGTTTATTTAGGACCGCGTGGGATTCTGAAAAAGCTTCAGATTAAAGAACGGCATCCATTGAAGTACATGGAAAATGATACAACTTATATAATTAGTTACTTTAACACAATTGTTTTATGTCCCACCCTGCTAACATGAAACAACTGTGTTAAAGTAACTAGATATGATTAAGTAAAAGGAAAACAATTTTAGCATAATTTCTTTCAGTGTGTGTTATAATAAAGCATTTTTTGTTCATCTATTTTTTTTGGAAAACTTTATTCACTTATTCAAATTTTCTGTAGGCCTCCATAATTCCTAACATTTAGTTTTTTTATATTTTCTACAAGCAGCCAGTGTAATTGTCCTTTCAGCTTTACATTAAACCACAAATAATTACCAAGATTTAAAGCTGAATGGTAGGGTTAATTCTACGTATTAATATAATAATAAATTAATACAGTTATTAGAATCAATTCAGTTTATTTCTATAGCACCAATTCACAACACATGTCATCTCAGGGCACTTTACAGTTCATCAGATCATACAGTCAAATTGATTCAATTAACAAAAGAAGCCAAATGACCCCATTCCAAAGGAAAGGACCCGTTCGTCCGTTTCAATTTACATGTTTTCAAAACTGAAAACATTTAAATTAAAAAAGACTGAATTGAAAAAGTTACCTGGATGGAAAGCAAAACGTCTTCAGAATGGGAAATTATTAAATTAAAGTTAATACGCCAAGTTTAACTATTAAAATGGGAATATTATTTCTTTTCTTCTCTGTAGTGCAAAACATAAAATCTAAACTTGGACAGGAAACAAATATTTTACACACGATTAAAAAAAATCTCTGAAGAAAAGGCCAACATAATTGAGCTGTTTTTTCCTTTGAGTGTGCTCTCCAGATACTGTGACTTTTTACCTGAATTAAATGTTAACATGTTTTATGAGCATAAATGTTAAGGAGTTCCTGAGACTTCATGCTATCAGACAGAAGATTTGAACGCTTGCTATCTGTGTTTCAGACGAAGATGCTCTGGAGGAGGGCATGACTGTGCTGCACGCCGGCCTGCATGAGTTTGCTTTCAGCTTCAACCTGCCTCAGATGTGAGTGTGTACAGAGTGTTCTCAGTTTATTCTGCATGAACCGACCATTTTAGAATCTATAGGGCTGCCTTACAGCAGCTTTTTTTGATCAGATGTTTCTCTGGCAAAGCTACAGAGGTTTCCTTTTATGTTGGTTATCTGAGTCCCTCTTTGGGGCCTTTGAAGGTGCCCCGCACCTCTGCCTAAAGCCTTATTTAAACTAACTAACCGTATTTAAAGCAATTAAAACTAACCCTGTCTCAGGGAGCCACAGTTAGGGAAATATGTTGGATCGGCAAGTTTTAGCTCTGAAGAAAAAGGCAGGAATTTGAGCTGGACCACCCAGTTTTCTGACCCCCTCCTCTTTTCTCTCTCCTGCAGGGCTCTGGCCACCTCCTTTGAGGGGAAGCATGGCAATGTGAGGTACTGGGTGAAGGCTGAGCTGCACCGCCACTGGCTGCTGCCTGTTAAAGTCAAGAAGGAGTTCATTGTCTTCGAACACATTGACATCAACACGCCTCTCCTGCTGGTAGGAGCTGCTTCCTCTCGGAAAACCATCAGCGTGTTAAAGTGTGTCGCCCGCGGCTAAATCTGATAATGTGTGTGAGCAGGCACCTCAGGCTGGAACAAAGGAGAAGACGCTGTGCTGCTGGTTCTGCGCCTCGGGTCCAATTTCCCTCAGTGCCAAAATAGAGCGAAAGGGGTACACACCAGGTGAGCCACGCCTCTTCTTTAAAATTCATCCTGCTCTTCCTCTCAGTATTCCCCTCTAAAGTTTCACCTATGTCCCTTCCTCTCTCAGTCTGACAGACTGATCTCTTCTCCCCTTTCTCCCAGGTGAGTCCATTCAGATCTTTGCCGAGGTGGAAAACTGTTCATCTCGTGTCGTGGTGCCCAAAGCGGCGCTCTACCAGACACAGACCTTCTTTGCCAAGGGCAAGGGGAGGCAGATCCAACAGTTGGTGTCCAACCTTCGGGGAGAGCCTCTCCAGCAAGGGAAGAGCCAAAGCTGGGAGGGCAAGCTGCTCAAGATCCCCCCGGTGTCCCCCTCCATACTGGACTGCCCCATCATCAGAGTGGAGTACGCCCTTGTGGTGAGTAATCCTTATTCTCTGGATATTTGCTAATAGCTGTTTCCATACACAATAAATTAGCTGTTCAGACTTTCTGGGACTCCTTCATTCAATTAAGGTCAGTTTATTTCTATAGCACCAATTCACAACACATGTCACACTAAGCATGCTTGTAGTGACAGTAGGGAGGAAAAACTCCCTTTTAACAGGAAGAAACTTCCAGCAGAACCAGGCTCAGAGCGGCCATCTGCTGAGGCTGACTGGGGGTCAAGGAGACAGACTTTATTAAAAGATTGACTTGTGACAAACTGTAAAATTAGAGCCTTTCATTCTCAAACACAGGTTGCTTCTATTACAAATATATATATATATCTAATATTGGAAAAGATGAAAAGCTTTAATAAACCTCTAAAATGTATATAATTGCACCAATTCCTTAATGACCTGGTGTTCCGATCAGACCAGCATACCCATATTCAATACCCGTTAACGAAAAATAAACTTTAAAATACCTCAACAAGCGTGTATCCCTTTAGCCATGAACAAAAAAAATATTTAATTACTTACTTTTTGGTGTCTTTTAAAGCGTATGGCGACCTGATCTTAAATTGCTTTTTTGTTGTACATGACTAAAGGGATATATGCCCAGTGAGGTATTTTAAAATCTATATTTCCTACAAAACTAAAGGGATAAACACAAATCTGATGTCTTGCGTGTGCACATTGATTAAGGTATGCTGATCTGACAGAACACCGGCCGAAATTTTGCTGGTATAATAATTAGCATTATGTCATCAGTTAGCGCTGCAGCTCCCCCTGTGGTAAATAATAGACCAAATTCACAGTAAGGATGTGGGAAAAAAATCGACTTGGCAATATATCTTGATTTTAGGCTCCCTGATATAATATTGATCTTCCAGTTCCTAGAATCGATTTTTTAAAAAGGCAAACATTTTTACCTTAAACAGCGAAGGAAAGGGGCTACCTCTGCACGCAACTCTAGCAGATGGCGCTGTGGAGCATTTAGCTGGCGCAGAGCCATATATGTAGTTGAGGCAGTCACAGTGGAAGACATGGATTGACTCAAACACCATGGATACCACAATAATTAAATGATCAATATGTTCTGATTGACTTTTACAGCACTTGCTTTTTTATTTACACATTTAATTTGATAGCAGGGAAAATATCTCAATATATAGTGATTTGCAATATCATGATAAAATCGTATTGCGACGCAATTATTGTGACACATGTCGCAATACCCATGCTGATACTCACCCCTAATTCGCTGAAACTAAAGTTATGTAGAAACATAAACATTAAGATGCTGATAAACTGTTTTTAGCTGTAAAACGGTTATGAAGCACAGCTGGCGATCGCAGGAAGTCAGAAGAGCAGGAGATTGAAAACAAACTGAAATCTCTTTGCTTTTTTTAAATTCTTTTATTTTATTCCAATGGCAACCAAAGGGGTGGATACTTATCATTAGCCAACTTTTTTTTATTATTGTTGAAAATGATTCAATTACAAAAGCCAACTATAAGCAGTTTATCAGCCTTTTATTTACACCCAACAAAGGAGAGTAGATATTCTGCAGGGATTGACAGTAACTCATATTTTTGACATTGAATATTGAATCCTGTCTTTCCAGATGTGCAGTTATCTTCATAAGCTAATTAATATTCTGGTAATCCACATTCAAAACATTTTGCTCAGAGCTAATAAAGCTTTATGGCTCGGTATCCATGCATGACGGTTTCTTTGTTTTCACCTCTCTCCGGCGTCTTGAACTTCAGCTCAGTTGATATATTTTGGGTAAAGTGATATGAGGGCGCTGTTCAGGGCTCCATTGTTTGATGTTTTTACTGGAGAAAGGCTGGATAACAAGGTTAAGATGTTTTAGGCAGCAGGGGGGTTAGACGCCCGGTGTGTTTATATTACATGAACGTGTTTCTTTTATTGTGGGTCAGCATAGTGACGGTGCCTGCAGTGTGTCTGTTTCACTGCCTGCAGCTGGATTGCATCAACACAAACAGACACCAGTGGCCCCTGCTAAGCTGAGAACATGTCCTTCTCCCTCGTCTCCTCAGGTGTATGTGGACATTCCCGGCGGGTTGAACCTGTCCCTTTCGTTGCCTTTGGTCATCGGCACCATTCCGCTCCATGCTTGCTCCACCCGCACCTCCAGCATCAGCAGCAGTTGTAGCTCCGCGAGCTGGATGGGTCTGCCAGAAAGACCTGAGGGTATGTACAAGCCACTATGTGGGGTACTTTTCTCAACTGGAGAGGCTTTTCAGAACAGAACCATATCTTACCCCTGCTTGTCCTCTGCAGCTCCGCCAAGCTACAGCGATCTGGCAATATCAGAGGCTCACAGGCGGAACTGCCTGCAGGGGAGTGATAGGTCTGATGGGGTGGGAGAGGACCAAGGATCTATGCTGACATACATCACAGAGTTCAGATATCTTCCCCCGCCACTCTACTCTGAGGTACAGTAAACACACTTACAAACGCATGTACGCAAATTAGTTTTTCAGCGCCGTTGATGACGTAGTAAACATTAAAAAAAGGAAAAATTTCTTATAAAAACACAAATAAGAACCTGAGAGCAATTGGCAAAATACTGAACTGGAAAACTGAAAAATAAAGGTTACAATAAAATAATCTAAAATGTTGTCATGTGTCTCTAAAATAAAAAGTTTAACACAAAAACAAAAATAGATTCCACAAAATAAGCCATATAATATATTTGTAAAAATGTGTTGGTTTGTTTGTTTGGTTTTTTTTGCAGAAAAAATAGCATTCTTTGCTAAATGATAGCAAGTATTACTGATTAGGTAAAGTTTATGTATGCAGAACCCTTTAAAGCTTCACAGTTCATTCACTTCAAACGCGTTTCATAGGATCTGATGAAAACAAAAGTTAGTTTTAAGTTTGAGGCATGAAAGTAAACATTGCTGGAATATCCAGCATAACATTTTCTGCCTTCATCTGCCAGATTAACGACACACAGAATATTTTCCGAAGCCTTCCTGCCGTCACAGATAATAAATTATTTTTATGAAGTTCGAGTTAACATCATGTCATGCAGGGGGGTGGAGGATTTACCATTAGGCAATACTAGGTAGTTGCCTAGGACCCCAAGTTACTGGGGGGCTCATAACACTCTCTTTGCATTTATGGTTAATACAACTATAATTTTTGTGCACATTACTGATGTTTTTGATAAAATTCCTTTACTTAAAATGACATCATAATGCTTATAATATTGAGTGTGTCTCAGCCCCCCCTTCAGTGTCCACCATATTGGATCAGTCCATTTGCTGCACATGTTCAGAAAAGTCCGAACAGACAGCAGCAAACCATTTGAATACAAACGATGCAAAGAGCAGTTTTGCCAACTTAGCGCTTTAGTTGCTACCGTATATTTAGCCACTTTTCAGACCCCTCTAGAACTTTGATTTCTAAAAAGCTCCTAGCGCCAAATCTAGAGACTTTTTTTTCTGCTACTGGAGACTTTGGAGACAAAAGCAGCGAACTCTGCTCTCCAGAGCAAGTAGATTGGTAACCCCGCCTCCTGCTCTCCTCTATCTTGTCTGCTGTCATGATTTATACAGATATTATTTCATCCAAATGAAAAATGGAGAACAGATAAGCAGATCGTGGCTTGTCTACAGTGAAAAGAAGGACTGGGTTATTTACTATTTCTGTCGCCTTTTTGGAAACACAGGAAGGAGCAATCAGCTAAGTGAGCTTAGTGCTTGGAGGAAATCTCTCATTTCTTTTGAGACGGCATGAAAAGTCAACTGAGTACAAATCAGAGAGGAAAACAAGAAAAAAAGGGAGAAGAAGAGAGGGACAAAACGTAACATGTATGTTTATTCTATTAAAATTTCAGTATCTGTATAAAGGGTCTGTTTTATATGTTGTCTTCTCAATTCAGAGGGTCCCCTGCCTGTTTTTGCCTAGGGCCCCAAATTCCTCAGATCTGCCCCTGGTTATGTGTGCTAGAGAGAAGCTGCTGTTAAACCTTGTTTTACTTTATAAAATAGAAAGACAAAAGGATTATAAAGGTGACAATAAACTAGAGCCCAAACAAATTTTCTTATGTGTTTCTTCTGAAGAATTTAGATCTGAAAGGCATATAAGAACTTGTCGATATCAGGATAATAAATGAAAAGAAACCATTAATCCCCAAAGCATCAGCTGGTTTATGCATAATTTATATAAAGTAAAAGACAAAGAAAGAATATTTTATCCTGTTAGGAGGAAGCAACAGGATCCATACATAACAGTCATCTAAGTAGAGTCAAAGTATCCATCCTGATTTTTCCTTCCTTCCCTCCTCAGGTGGACCCTTACCCTGACACAGTGGAGGTCTGCACTACTGCAGATGTCAGACGACCTGATATGTGTCCGTCCCGCTGAGAGGATCCTCGAAAAAGTCTCCGCAAATGAGACAGGATCAAACTCACCCGGAATTCCTGAAGGATTTCCCAACAGTATGTGTCACCGTAGATGTGGCTGGACCCTACCTGACCTGAGGACAGCCAGCTGATGGAGGAAGGCGGTGACCCACAGACCACATGGAGCATGATTACGCTTCCTGTCATCAAGACGAGGACACAAAGAGCGTCTTTTGGCAGCGCGCTGAGAAACTGTCCCTCTGCTGCTCAGAAGGCGTCTCCTCCTCCCTTATGGAGAAGTTTGCTCAGCTGTTTCCCTCTCTGAACGCCACGGGTCGACATGCTTCAGTAGACTTCAGAGTCTGTAGTACTCTCAGGGGCACATAAAGATGAACACTATCTCCACTGACACCATAGCTCTGGCCGGAAGGCGGAAACGATCTCTTATTTTAAGGCGAGGTGAAATTCACAGATTGTCCGACCCAAACCAGAAACAACGACTTACAGAAATGTGTCGCATCAACGACCAACTCAAGGGCTCTGAGCTCAGCTTGAGTTTGAATGTTTGTGTGTGTGAAAGGGTTACAGGGTGTGTGTGTCGATTTAAATGTTAAGACAAAGCACAACATGGACCAACCCAAACAGCGAACCACATGTTGCCTGTTGGTTTCTGCTCTGAGATGAGCTTGGTGTAGCTGCAGATTCTTCCACGTCAGATGGATGTTAGAAAAAAAAGAAAAGAAAAAGTATAAAATAAATGTTTACAAATGAATATACCAGATTAAGAATGTTCAAACACATAATATCTTCCACCTAAAGTTTCATATTACTAAGTGCAATATATTTTTTTACATTTTGAGTTCTTTTGCACTAGTTTTTTTCATGTACTCTGTCGCTGTTTATTCAATCTATGTGCATTATATATATATATATTATTGTCATGATCTTGTTGCTTTCACGATCAACTTTGGATTAAATAAAAAGGTTTATTTTCTAAAATAATCAATGGCTCCATCATTTGTTGCTGCAACAAGATACAATAACTGCTTTTGTTTTGTTTTTTTTAACCCTTTGAACTTTTCCACAAAAAAACTTCATTTGAATTTAAACAACTTGGCCGACATCAAACATTTTTGAAGAGAAAGGATTAATGTGTAGCTGTAAAGGTCATAAATACAACTTTTTCATAATTTTTTTTAAATTAACACATTAAAAGGTCATATAGAGTCGTTTAGGATTAAAGTATTCATTTTACACAAAAACGTATAAATAATAATAGCTGGGGTTTTTTTTTATTCGATGGCTCTAAAAACAGAAGTATTTACTTCCAGTTATGATGCCAAAGCCGATTCAGAACTAATGGGAAATGGTAATGATGAGACATGAGCCCAGATAATGATAGAGCTCAGAAACGGCAGATGACTTATGGACAAATTTTGAATTTCCAAATCTTATTGCTTTAACTTTGCTGATGAAAAGGACATTTTAAAAAGGATACATTACATGTAAGATTAGCACTTTGAGATTTTTCTTAATGAAAAGTGCGGTACAAATTGGATTTATTATTATTATTATTATTATTATTAAGATTAGCGGCTCGCTAGCTCATGTGGTAAGTCACCCCATCCTAAAACAGGGTTCTTATCCCAGCTGGGGGTAATGAGCTGCCAGGGTGGGACCTTAGGGAAGACCCTAATACGGTCGAGGGCATTTTGCTTGGAATCCTGGGGTTCTGAGTTCGAGCCCAACTCCCACCGACTGGGACTCTGAGTCCCTGAGCAAGATCCTTAAAGTCGTAGGGAAGCAGCTGTTCCGAATTCTACCGAGTGGTGCACGACTTTACACGAGTGAATAAAGTGAATTGATTGGTCGTTTATCAAGGGGGCAGGATTGTGGTGGAAGCTTCACAAGCAAGTTTGGTGTCTCGGAAGCATCTTGCTAACCAGTTAGCGACTTCATGCTAGTATTTAGCACTAAATTGGTGACTTAGAAACGACACTGTCAAGGAACGCTATGGACAGCGGAAACATGCAGGAGGAGGAGAGTTTAGTGTCGGAGGTCGTGGATGAGTCTCCTCCATCATCCATTTTTTATCAGAGGAGGAAAGCGGGGATGAAGATGTTGTGGAAGAGGACGCCAGGGCGGCAGAAGCTTGGTTTGGTGTAGAAGGCTTCCAGCCGTACATGTTTGAGCCCTTGCCTCGCAACGCTGCCAGTTCTGTTAGCTCTACGCCTGCTGAAGACACAGACGTCCATCCCCGTGAACACTGGGACGGAAGTCAATGGGAAAAGAATGATTCTTATTTCAACCGTTGCGTATATTAGCTGCAACATATGAATCCAGATGCTATGACCGGAGAAATTTGATTGACAGATGACTGTTGATATATGATTGGCTGGATTTAGGTGTTCAGGCTGACGTATAACTAACTGGCCTGCAGAAGATAATGAAAAAAAAAAAACAGATTTTAAGACAGGATTTTTTTTTTTTTTTATATAGAAATTTTCTAAATTTTGGGACAATATTGTCTGATAAAGAGTACATTTATATACATGTTTAAGCCGGAATGATTTGACATTTGAATATGACTTCCCTACGATGGGCTAAAAGCAGAGAGTTAATTTCGTTGCTCTTTACTTGTGACAGTTTAATGACAATAAAATGCTGGAAAATAAAAATAAAAAAGATTAGAGAAAAGACGAATGATAGAGAGATTGGGAGGGTCAGAGGTGAAGGAGATCACTGAAAGTGGAACAGTTGAAGAAACGAACAAAGATGAGGAAAATAACGTTAGCATAAGCGGTAAAGAGGAGGAAGTTTCAGTTGAAACTGATGGAGAAAATGAAGGCAGGCAGGGAATCTAGCCCTCCTGGTACTTTCTGTGGTTATTCTCTGTAGAGGTTCTAGTGCAGAGATGCAAGATTTGGTTCCTCTTTATGAGACGTTTAGCTGCCCAAATCCTAGATGTCTGAAATCTGAAATCCTGTGGTCTTTTCAGTTATTTTTCTGAATTTATTTTATTTTTATTTATTTTATAACTTATTTTTATTTATTTTATTTTTGTGTTGTCTCAATGTTTTCTTGATCCCATTTGGATATAAGAGATTTCTGATGTATTCACTGAAGAGGTCCAGCATTATCACCCTATCAAGGCCTTTCTGTGCCTCCTTTGCCCCTCATGTAAAATTTTCTCAAATGTGTGATAACTGTGATACTATTATTGGGATGTCAAACCCAAGTTTTCCTTGATGTTTTCCTTAAATGTTCTGAACTAACCTAAACTAACCTAAACCTAAAACCATAAATTTACTGGTTTGCATCAAATCATCTGTGGCTTAATTCAGTGTCACAGTGTTGATTGTAATGCTGAATATTGCAGAGCTCTGGATATAAATGCTGTGAAGGACTCAATATTCATCACGTCACCATTAATTCTTTGACATTACTTTGCCTTCTACCTGCTTAAGGTTTTGCATGAAAGTTAATTTTGGCAGATTTTAGGGTTGCATCAAACAGCAGGAAGCTACACCTCGTCTGCACACGTTCAGCTGAGTCTGTTCTAGAACAAAATCTCTACACAAAACAGCAAATTCACTTGCATTCTGTTTTTGCTCAAAGTGCTCATTTCCAGTCACCACCAGGGCCATCCAAGGCAAACAGTAGTATAATCCCGGATTACATAATCCTGTTTTGATTCAGATAACCATTGAATGGGACTTTATACAGGTCCACTTTAATTAAACCTTTTACCAGTTTAAACTTAATATGTAAGACATTTGATCTTTTGCACATATTTAACATTTTTATTACACTTCAGTGAAATAATCATTTTAGTTGTTATAGTTTCTTCCTTTTTCTGTTGTACTTTTTACAACCCCTTTCTAAAACCAAAAGAATGCATGAATATGCTACATGAATGGTACAATTTTAGTGCCTCTAACTAAATATAAAATGAAAATAAATTTCTAAATAAATACTTTTTTTGTAAAAGCCGGGACCTTTCAGGAGTCTATGTGTCTGAGAATGAGGCTGTTTGAACTGGGTCCTTCTAGTGCATCTCAGAATAGATAATTTTGTTTTAGATGGGAGCAGTTTTTCTTTTTTATTTTAGCACTTCCTTTCTAACTTCAAATTTTGGACGTTTGTAAATGTGATGCGATGGAAGCAGATTGTCGTAATGGTTGATATGAGCAACTTTCCTCTGAGGGCACAGCAGGAATGCAAGCAAACTCAGAGAAGGCCTTATCAGTGTGGGGTAGATATAAGCACCAACAGAGACATTTTTTTAGACTTGAAGTGATCAGAACGAGCTGTTTATAGCAGCTCATCAGCTACTATGGAAATATGTCATTTTAGCAAACTTCCCTCTCCCTCTGATCGCTCTGTTTTATTTTGACCCCCACTGAAGAACACACAACTCTCACATTCCAGCACACACAAATGATGAGAGGTCACATGAAAAATGTTTTGGCTCTGTTATACAGGCGCGTCTGTACGGCTGATAAACAGAAACTGGTTTGAACTGGATGGTGGAATGGGGAGAGGCAGCACAGAGAACAGAATAGTCCTGCGTTGTTGTTCCAGCAAGGTACGAACAGGTCACAGAATAAGAAAAACTACCAAACATGTTAATAAAATAACAGAGGTTCAGGATAAAGGTGGAGGATATTGTCTTTTTATGGGGTTGGATATAGATCTGCAGAAAAAGCACCAGAAACAAGACTTTAAGGGGGCATGTTTTTCACAGAGTTCAAACATTGCAAAGCACTAGTTTCACAGTTAAATAGCATAAATATGACAGAAGCTTCAGCATTTGTTATTGTTATGCTAAAATGCAGAGCGCAGGTGTCAAGTAACAAAGTACAAATACTTTGTCACGTTACGATTAGTGTTGCGCCTATGCCATTTTTCGGCCCCGATACCTCGCTGTGCAGTATTTGCCGATACCATCTGTTGGAAATTGGTGTATGTGTGTATATATGAAGAACTGCATCCTACTTGGACGTAAAATAATTGCCATCAAGCTGCTGCCTACCTTTGTGAAGCAGGAAAAAGACTAATATAAAGTGAATCCAGTAGAACTTTTTACTACCTACCTGGAATGGGTGACAATAGTTGAATAAACTTTCGGCTCTCAAATAGTATCGGTGTCCTATTTGTCGTTACTTACCACCATTTTAGCGCTTGATCGGGGCCCTGGCTGATACTGGTATCAATAACGACACAACACTATACTAAAAATTTCAGCTACCTATATATTTTGCTGGAGTAATTATTTTTACACAAACTTTCTACTTCTACTCCTTACATTTATTTTACAATTATCTCTACTTTCTATTCCTTACATTTTAAGAATAGATTAATTATTTTTGTTTCATTTGAGCTCATTTTCATTATGGTTTGTTGATATTTAAAAAAAATTTAATCCATCAAAATAATTAGTTTCAATGAATTATTTTCTTTGTGGTTGAACTCGGTGCTGCAATTCAATTCAATTCAATTCAGTTCATTTCTATAGCATGAATTTACAACACATGTCATCTCAAGGCACTTTAAAGTTCACCAGATCATACAGTCAAATGGATTCAAAGTTTTCTCTCTAATAAAAACCAGTTTATTGCATCGACTCATTGACTCGATTGCAATCCCTCACACTGCTTTTAGCAACAGTGGAGAGTAAAAAATAGGACAAAACCTCCAGCAGAACCAGGCTCAGTGTGAGCGGC